GTGAGTCTTGAATGGGACCATTCGGATGACATGTCCTGAATACCTGAGGCGATGTCAGCCTGAATAATGAGTCTGGTAAGTAATAAAATGAATGATTATTTTATTATTAAAAAAAATAATGTTTTATTAATTCAGTACAGAACGAAAGAATTGCTTAATAACTGAACATATAAATGAAATAATGAAATTTTATGATTTTTTCAGAGTAACAACTTAAAATCTATCTTCTAATAAAATCGGCAACGAAGGGATTTTTTTCTATTAATAAAATATTGGCCACCTGAAAATATATTTACGAATTTACTTTCATTATCTATGAATTGTTTGACGAACAAATGGCCGTTCCTCTATTTTTTTACTGCATATACACATCTACAGATTGTTACTAAAATATAAAGATTGAGTGACGACAAAGTTCGGCACTGTTTCCCTTAAAATTTAGCATCGTTTTATTAGTCTGTAACACTTTCTTTGTTGTTTGCTATACACAAAGATTGGAGTGTAAGGCAACCGGAACGTTGTGAGATAAATAAGAAAATGAAGGTCCTACAACTGTGTAGAGTAATAATAGAAAATACTTTAGATAACAATGCATGAAATTTTTAGACCAAAAAATTTTTTAGAATCGTTAACTCGGGGGCGGTCGTCCGAGTGGAACAAAATGTCTTTAATTGTTTGTACGATATGATGAGGACTTCATCGCTGTACATTAACGCTTTGAAAATCGCAGTTCTTGACTAGAATAATGTGACGATATAATGAGAATTTAATGGAAACAAAAGTGAATGTTTTAAGTTGATGTGGATTGTGCGCATGCGTAAAGTGGGTCGGCATCCTGTCCCATTAGCATTTGGCTTCCGTTTCGCTTTAGCTGCCAAGTCAAATAAATAAGTCAGAGATAAAGAAAAGAAAAAGAAAATGTTGAATTAGAAGAGGAAAATGAATGAGAGAAATTACAAACTAAAGAGGAGAGATGGAAAGCAAAAAAAAAACAGAAAGAAAAACAGACAAAACGAAAGAAGGAAATCTGGATAGAAGAATATATATATATATATATATATATATATATATATATATATATATATTATCAAAAAAGTTTTTAAAAAAAAGAAAAATGAATTTACTGCCAGATGTATATATTCTATACTTGGTTCTGTAAGGGAGGGAAAAATGAAGCCTATGGTAGTATGGAGTGACGGGTACATGCGATATGCGGGTGGCAGCTGTATATGACCACTGACAGCAATGATGCATTTTACCCCGGTACACCTGCTACTGCTTCACCCACCACTATTCTCTCTTGTTCGTTGCGAATTAAGATAGTTACACTTGTGATGTCTAGCACTTGTCAATTTTTTTTTTTTTTTGCTTTTTCGCCTCCACCTGATTTTATCTTTATATCTTAGCATAGAAAAAAATTCAAAGTGTAGGATATCTGACTTTTGTGCTTTAAGTTGCAGAAAGATTCAGAAGGATGAAAGATGGTCGTTCAGCTACGGGTGAGAGCCAGATGACGGAACTAGAATAGAAACGGACAGTGACAATATTCAGGAGATACGGAACATCATCCAACCATGGCGTTGGAGCACATCTGACGGATTTATTATTGGTAGGGCACACTTCTTGCCGGAACACTTAACTGGCAACAAAATATACATATACATATATATGTGTGTGTGTGTGTGTGTGTGTGTATCCAAGTAAAATGAGAACAAATGGTGTCTAATTCCACTACACGTAACAGTTAATTTAAAAGAGGGATCAATACATAGCATAGCTAAATATTATTTATTTTAGGATATTAAAACATGTTAAAAATCGCTACATAATGCCAATCATGTTTCAACACTATAAATGTGTCTCCTTAGCTAATGTTAGATTATTGACTCGCCAGTAGTCTAACATCTCCTGAGAAGGCACATTTATGATGTTGAAACATAATTGTCATTGTATAGCGATTTTTTTACATGTTTTAATATCCTAAAATAAATTATATATATATATATATATATATATATATATATATATATATGAGAAAGACAAGTGTTGTAAGAGAAAAGTTCACTGAAACATATACACACATCACATTTATACATACGCGCACATATATATACATATCTATATATCTCTATAGGAGTTCAACATTGTGAACGCAGAAGAGTAGAATGTCATTTTAAAGAGTAGAACGAATATTAATTAATATTAATTAAGGGAATGAAGGAGTTTAACATGCACAGACATATTACAAGGAGGATACTAGATGAAGAAAAAAAAAGTTTGATTGATTTAATCTCAAGTCATGGTAAACGAGAATCAGACAGACAGAAACATGAGTTTAGAGTGTAAACGGGTAAGATAGGGCAGATTAGCACACTCACGGTCGTCATGGAAAACGAACTGAGAGAGAGTCATTCATATATAAGCCTGTTTCTCTGTGTGTTTAGACATCCAGTTGCTTCATTTGGCTAGACATACGATTGCTTCAAGCCGGGATCGAAACCTGACCGATTTGGCATCAGTCAAAGATCCTACCCCTAAGCTATGGGCGCAAAAAAAGAGAAAAAAAAACATAACGTATTATATTTAAGATTTAAGAAACACCAGATATTTTTATAAATAGTGCTCAATATTAAAAATATTAAAATAATACTAGAAACTGCCCGTTAATGATATATGAAAAGATTACTTTTTAAATATTAATTTTTATACAGACATTGAAGTTTCTTAGTAAAATTTCCAATCATCAGGTGTGGTGGTTTTGAAAGGTATTCCATTTTTCACTTTGAACCCCTCCTCAGGTTTTGAATTCAGAGTTTTCCTTCTCCTAAATTGATTGTCACCCAAGGCTATAGGACCCACCCTGTTTTACTAATTAACCCATAACTTCGAAGGGAAGAGATAAATTCATACCTTTCCAAAGGATGTTTGCACGTAAGTGAATGCAATGATTTCAACTGGAATTTGATGACGGCTTTTCGATTCCTGAATCCTTAAAAGGCAAAACTAGAATTATTACTTAGAAAAGAAGTCTTCTTTTGGAGCAATACACTCTTCCCACTTTTTCCTCCTATGCTTCAGACAAAGCCAGTTATAGTCAGTGTGTGTGTGTGTGTGTGTGTGTGTGTGTGTGTGTGTGTGTGTGTGTGTGTGAATAAATATATCAGTATATGTGCTTGTTCATAAAAGTTTACTTTCAGTCATCTATGAACTCATGCATATGTATATTTTTCCTTTTTTTATATACTTCTCATATTGATATGAATATGGCTCTCCACAGCTTTCATTTCATCAATGGCTATAAATTATGCATTTCTGTTTTCATTTTCTGTTTGGATTTCTAAGTTTGGGGAATCATCATTATTTACAATATTTACATCTTTCGTCATTATCAAAACATTTTCATTGCTTGTGTTCCCTGGCCTTCATCAGGTTTTTACCGATCCTGTTAACTTGTCAGGAATTTCGAACTGAGCCCTATGTTCAATCTACGGGGTTAAATTTGTTCTTGTCCCGCAGTCCACTTCTACGGATATCTCTGCTCAATTATTATTCTCCCAAAGACTGTACTAAAAATTACTATGTTACCAAATTCACGAATCAAAGATTTATTCAAACTAGAATAGTGAATATAGCATTTGGAGTGTTAAACTTAATCTGCCTGTTATTGAGTTTGTTTCTGATCCGGATGCTTGTCATTCTTGACAGCATCCACCAAGACTTCTCTTTTTTGTGATTATTCTTAGGAAAGATAATGAAGTGGCTTCCATTTGTATTGGGTGAACGAATAGGTTACCTTAATAATCGCCATAAGAGGTGACTAGTAGGGCAATATATAAATAGCCTAAAAACAGGGGTAGGAAAATGATTTTAGATGACCCACGAGACTTAAGGAGTATATTGGCGACGCGGACTCTCACTTATTCAACAAAAGTAAAATACCTTATATTTCGAACAACATTGGCTAACAACACCTTGTATTCTCTACAATTTCGAATTCAATCGTCCTTCTTATAGTCTGATTGCCTAGTTTTCATAGCTGGCAAAGAGAAAAGTTAGGTTGGTGCCTTTCGCAAGAGCATTAGTTTGAAGTAAAATCTCTGCTGATACTCTAAGCTAGGCATACTAATTCTATTTTCCGAATCAACCGTTATAGAATACGACCCTCCTGTCTTGGATATAATTGGGTGTAGAAGGAGACAGTAAGATGCCTACGATAAAACGTTGACCTTTTCAGTGATTCAAATCTCGCTTTTTAGCTTAAAATGCAATTATTAGACTCGCACGTCGTTCTTTGTTAGTTCATTCAATACGATGAGTTGTTTTGTTTTGTTTTGACACTTCAAACGACATTAATGTCTGTTCTTGCCAGCCAACATTATTGATTGTTATTTGTTTGTCTCTTCCAATTTGTTGCGTGCAAGGTGCGTGTCACATGGTTGATATTTCGAAGCAAAGTTGAGAAAACACAATTAAAATGTTAGGAAAACGAATTTGTTCACCGAAGCAGTCGTGTGCAGAAGACCCGGCGCGTTGACTTGGTAAGGCTGATGCACGAATTGGCATGTGCGTTTCTACGTGCTCCCTGGCGATAAGTAAATATACTTATGTCCGCGTGTACTTACATGGGTCCTACCTTCCAGTGGTGGGTTTGTGGTTACAGTATTAAACTGGCAAAGGTCGTAGCAGTTTTAAATTATTTCGAAATTTGAAATGAACCATTTTATCTGATAATATTTTAAATGAATGAGGGTTTGGCTCAATCTGCTTCTCTAATCAAATTGGTTCAAATATTGTTGATGAAAGCTCTCCCGGAATATAGAATATGAATTCAAGCCTCGGCAGAAATTTCTTCATTATTCTTCGGTCATTCTAGTTACATTAACGCACGGAAATCTTTTTTATATATATATATATATATATATATATATATATATATATATATATATGTGTGTGTGTTGAAGGTATTCGCGCGAGCGCACACACATGTACACAAGACACACACATAGATAGATAGATAGATAGATAGATAGATAGATAGATAGATAGATAGATATGCACAAAAACACAAATAATTAGTACGAGCAACGTAAAGTCTGCCAGGTGACCAAAAGAAAACTCAATAAAAAGAAAATCTAATAAAACAAAATCAAAATGTTATGAGAAAATGCTTAAAAAACCGAAACCAAGAAGAAAACCACCAAAAGACTAAACAACTATCTAAACAGTAATAGAAAGTACTCTGTGTCTTTGTTATCAAGACAGAACAGCTATGCTTCCCACTCAGAAAGAGACAATGTTCGGACCTCTAATTAAACTAACCAATTCCCAAATAAATAAACAATAAAAAATAAAATAATGAATAAATTAACAAATTCACTAAATAACACTGGCCAATACATATTTTCGTGTAAAGATGGGAACATTCTTTCTTGGCTATATTTGAAGGCATCGAATCCAACAATGATGTTCATTTTTTTCATATTAGGTACCGTTTTCTCTGCAACAAAATGTCTCATTTTGGAAAAAAACAATGTTCATTTTACCTCATTATTTATCGAATTAATTCACGGTTTTCAGATGAGAAAATGAAAATCTAAAATCCTAATCAACTGAAATCAATCTTTATTAATGAAAATTATTCTCATATCTCAATGATGAATGGCGGCTCTATAAAAATTGGAATCCATTCATTAGATTTTACTATAATCTGTCTATTTTAATGAGTAACTATCAATGTTATATCAATGTACATTGGTACTCAAACTAAGAAAGGTTATTCAAAATCAAACTATTTGTAGTCTTATCAGTGGTATGTCCATGAGTGTATTTTTGGCACATACCAGATAATTATAAACATGATCTATTTAAGATAGTTTTCGAGTTTCATATGAGTTTATTGAAATTAGTTGATATGTAATGTGTAGCGTTAAGTATAAAATGAGAACAAATATAAAGTCTTCTTTGACTTCGTAATCGAATAGTCTCATGGCTACACTTTGTTTTATTTCTCGACTTAAATACCAAAGCAATAACTTCAAGCGGAGGATGCAAAAACAATCCGAATATCTTCTGTTATATAGTGATTTTGAACGCGCATCTTAGATGTGGCACAAGGCCGAAAGCGGGAGGAACCCAGTGAGGATCGAACTCATTACTAAGTCGTAATTGTTCTAGTGAGACAAGCTTGCTAACCATTACACCGCCTCGAGGAAACCCTATATAGTGATATTCCAAGCGTAAGTTAGATGTGACACAACGCCGAAAGTATGAGGCACCCAGTGAGGATCGAATTCACTACTCGCAATTGTTCTAGTGAGACAAGATTGTTAACCATTGCACCGCCTCGAGAAAACCCCATATAGTGATTTTCCAAGCATAGCTTATATGTGGCACAAGGCCGAAAGTATGAGGCACCCAGTGAGGGTCGAACTCACTACTCAGTATTAATTGTTCTAGTGAGACAAGTTTGTTAACCATTGCAACGCCTCGAGGAAACCCTATATAGTGATTTTTCAAGCGTAGCATAAATGTGAGACAAGGTCGAAAGTACGGAGGCACCCAGTGAGGGTCGAACTCACTACTCAGTCGTAATTGTTCTAGCGAGACAAACTTGCGAAACATTACACGGCCTCAAGGTGTCCCATAACGTCTGTTATATATGTGGTGAGTTTACAACAACGAATAACAGAAAAGTTATCAATAATTTTGTCTGAAAAGCTTATCATGCTCACTTTGAAGTGCAGCTGGGCAATCAAAAGAAATCGTGGGCACCCGATATTGTCAGCAAAACATGTCAGGTGTACTCACGCCAGTGGATTAGGGGTACGCGAACTTCGCTTAAGTTTGGCATTTTGATAATCTGGCGCGAACCACAAAATCATATCTACTTAATTGACATTGCTGGCCTCAACGAGAAGTAACAAAAATCTGTGAACTATCATCCTCTCAAAGTCTGTCTATATTTCTGAGATGAGGTATTATGTACATTATTTACATTATTTGGACTATTGTCCTCATCTTTGTCGCCATATTTATCACAACGTTTCGGCCGTTGTACGCTCCAAAGAGTGTGAGTTCAATACCCGGTTAAGGTAGTGGAGAACTTTCAGAGGGAAATTGGCAGGAGATAACGAATAACTGACATCCATCAAACATGGCACGTGGAACTAGAACAGTCTACCCCAGTGAGCGAAATAAAGGGTTCAGTTCGAAATTCCAACCACCTGAAGAAGGCCGGAGCGTACAACGGCCGAAACGTTGTGATAAATATGGCGACAAAGATGAGGACAATAGTCCGAATAATGTAAATAATGTATCATCCTCTCAATTCAGCTACCAGCCCTGGACACTACGACGAAATCCCGATTCCTGGCTTTAAAGGCTTTAAGTCCAATGGCATTGAAGAATTGGATCATGGTGATGCGAATAAAGTCGTCGACATGGTCGAGAAGGACAATGACAATGCTTTGGAGGAATTATCATCTGAACCGATACAGTTTTGATTAAGAAGAGCTGATCGACTTAATTTGGGTTTCTCAAAAGAATCGGAGAAATCTTAGTTTCAAGACTGAAGGAGAAGAATTTCCCGAAGGAAGGAACAAAAGTTACATTTTATCGCAACAGAGATGCTGAATTTGTCTCTTACTTCAATAAAAACCAACGGATTTATATATTGTAAACGATATCGAAGATGTTTTTCTGCGTCTTGTTATTCAGGACTGTGATGAAAATCTATGTTGACTTTTCATTGATAGCTCAAAGCGTAGTTTAAAATCTGTTTTGTGCACGTCACAAATGTACACCCATTGATATTGGACACTCTACAACGCCGAAAGAAAAGCATGAACCCATTAAGGAGATAATGAAAAGAATAAATTACTTTCTACTTAGGCAGCAATCAAGCTAAAATTTTCCGTACTTCCTTTGCTTGTGGGACAGTATAGCCAGAGATCAACCCTGGGATAGAAATCGAATGACCGGTCAGAGAAAAGTCGGAGAAAAAAATGTGATAACTGATCCGCTAGTCCCTAGAGGTAGAATCATCTCCACCACCCGACACTTTTCATATCAAATTAGGAGTCATGAAACAGTTTGTGGAAATGCTTGACAAGGACGGCCAGTGTTTTCCGTACATTTTCTGGTCTCGGCCTAGAAAAACTGAAACAAAGTACTTTTGATGGACCTGACTTTCGGAAATTCATCACTTTATCAACTCTATGAATGTCACGGAATCAAATGACTGGATTTCATTTGTGGCTGTAGTAAAGAAAACGTTATTGGTAATCGCAAGACAGATGACGATAGGGAACTAGTCAACCGGATGTTAGCAAACTGTCTTGGTGCTAACACGAGTATCAAACTAAATTTCCTCTATAGTAATTTGGACAGGTTTCCAGAAAACTGTGGCGATATAAGTGATGAACTGGGAGAATGTTTTTATCACGATATAGAAGTCATAGAGGAAAGATATCAAGAGGAATAAATGAATTATGACAGATTCCTGTTGGAGCATGAAGAGAAACAAAAATGACGATCATTCGCGAAAATAAAAAAATCTTACCAAGAAAGTTATTTTTTTTTTAATTTTTAACTTTCTATTTAATGAAATGACGTATTTTTCTTCTTCCCTCAGAGTTCAAACTTTATTTGATTTGTATTTACATACCTGTATATTTTTCGCTTTACACATACTTGAATTACAATAAACAATTTTCCTGTTTTTGTCGATCGTCTGAAGCAAGAAAACTAGAAATAACTGAGAAAAAAGACTATGATATTCGAATTCCGCTCCATGAAATTGTTTAAAATTAGCTGTGATAGCCCTTGTATCATTTAAAAAACTGATTTTGCAAGCCAGCGTACGAAACAAATTAACAATACCCGCATGAACACAAGTAAATTTAATTATTAATAATCAAAAATAAATAATTAATCAATAAATACAAAATACCCTAAATAATCAATAATAAATAATGACTTCAAATTTAACATTATACTATAGCTACAGATAAACGCATTCTAACTCACATTTCAATAGCCTTTAGAATAATTTTGAAGTATAACAGTGGTCGCCTACTCTGTCAGGATAAAACAGTAAACCGGAAATACCTGACCTTGCTATCCATAATCCCCTATTAACCACACAGCCTATATGGCATGAAAACTGTGTTCATGCATGAAAGAGTCTCGAAGTTGACATCAGCGTCTCTCTCTCTCTCTCTCTCTCTCTCTCTCTCTCTCTCTCTATATATATATATATATATATATATATATATATATATATATATATATATATATATATATATATTATAATTTTAAAGAAAACAGACCACTTTAAGGTTCCATTATAACAATTTATTTCACCAGAGCCCTTTTAAAGATAGCACTTCCAAAAGATGAAACGAAACGAAATGAAATGAAAATTCATACTTTTGATGGGTAGTGTAAGTTTTTGTAATTTAACAGAGGCGGTAATGAGGAGTGGTTTGAGAGACATGGTCGAGTTTAGAGAGGGTTTATTTAATATTTCTTTCAGTCATACTTAGTATTGGCGGAGAAGGGAGCAGACCTTGACCTATTTAATCGGCTAACTTAACGGAAGTGATATATTGAAAAGGGAGGGGAGAAGAGAGAAAAAGAAAAAGAAAAGAGAAAGAAGGGGGAAGTAAAGAGAAAGAGGCTGTAAATAGGTTTCACGTAGGGAAAAGAGAGGTGGTATAGTTTTAGCAATTTATGTAAAAAAATAGATTTTAATGTTTGATAGTAATTTAAAAAATAGATTTTAATGTGTGACAGTAATTTAAATGTCACTATATATATATATATATATATATATATATATATATATATATATATAGGTAAGCTGTCGTATAAATTACGCAAAAATGAAAATAACACTGATATCTCTTTTTAACAGATATATTTACCAAAATTGCGAAAAAAAATTACCTTGAAATGCTAAAAAGTAAATTTATTCAATAAAATCGCCATTAGCTTCAATCACAGCCTCAAGACAATTTCTTAATTTCCTACAAGGTCTCCTTATTCAAGTTGGTGAATGTTTCCATAATCCTTGCCTTCTGTTTATCTTTGTTGTTACAAGGAGTTTTGTTAGTCTCTCACACAACTGCGCAATAATGAACGGGGTTGCAGGTTGGGAGAAGGGTAGTCAGATGTAAGGAGTGATGTGGTCGCAGACATTGTCTGACAGCCATGATTGGGTTCTCCTACTTGCGTAGCATGGTACAGAGTCCTGTTGTCAGACATAGGGTCTTCCAGCAGCCATCTCCTTGACCCAAGGCAGCACTACCTCCTCAAGGCACTTGACGTAGGCCTCCGCGTTGAGTGGAAAATGAATGGAGGCATAACCTTGCCATCACTAGGGATCACTCCAAACACCGTCGTTATCACCATTAGACTCATCCAGCTCTTTCCGAATCCTCTTCACTGTCCTCAGATTGATACCCAAAGACTGTGAAATTTTCGTGTTGGAGATTTTGGCGCGAATGCTAAGCAGTACCGTATGCCGTTTCCATTTCAATTTCTGACGAAGTGAATTGCTGTATGGTGGTCTTTTTCTCACTGACAGTGCCCAACTGACCCTACTATAATATGCAGTCGACAAAATCAAAAACAACACACACACACACACACACACACACACACACACACACACACACACACATATATATATATATATATATATATATATATAAGTGAACATTGAAGTCAACACTCAGAGGCGACAAGACGTTTCATACTAGACGCAATCGTCAGGCCGACGATTGCGTCTTGCATGAGACAGCCTGTCGCTTCTGAATGTTGACTTCAATGTTCACTTTTATATTTATATTTACATACGCTCTATCTCTGACATTGAGCACTTTATCCCATAAATATAGCACACCTTAAAACTATATTTTTCATATATATATATATATGTGTGTGTGTGTGTGTGTGTATATATATATATATATATATATATATATATATATATATATATGCTCCGTTTAACTACATTGAGAACTGTTTTGTTTACACCTTAAATTGAATAAATATTTATTTTCTCATCTGTATACGTCATTACACGCATATATATTTGCTAATATCTCATTATTTAGTTTATATTCACACTTATACAGTAATGTCAAAATGTAGACATACCAGTACTGAGTCAGTACGGGCCCGGATGGACAAAATATATTTTCTCGGATCCTCCAACTCTCCCCTTACCCCTTCTCTTCTTAGAAATTTGACTTGTGGCGCTTGTATAGTTTATTTAAGCGGTCATGAATGACGTTACAAATTAACCATCCATAAGTAACTGTCCCGATGAGACCTATCGAATGTCTTTTTAAAAAGCCATAATTCCAAGAGCCAGTCTTTTATATGATAACCTTGCATAGAAATAGATCAAGTTCACCTAACACTAATGCAACATGTATGACAATATTATTCGCCAAAGATCAATACTGATGACGCTTGGGGAAAAGCTAATTGTTAGCAAAGTGAATAATTTAAAAATCAACCAACTTTTAAATATCCCGAAACTCAACACGGATTTTCATCTTTGTTATTTAATCATGATTTAATGTCATTAGGTTTGTGTATACAGCTGACGGGGCGACAAAAATAGTTCCAAATTAATTCTATTCTAAGAATTGATGCTACCTTCACACGTTAAAAACATACACACACTCATATATATATATATATATATATATGTGTGTGTGTGTGTGTGTGTGTGTGTGTGTGTGTGTGTGTGTGTCAGTTTCTATCTATCTATCTATCTCTCTCTATATATATATAGTAGTTGGATTGGTGTGAGTTTGTGACCCTGGGTTTCACGCTATTTGCGATTGTCAGACAAACTTATTAATTTTAAAATTTTGAATTTCTATATGGTTGCGTATATCGGTGTTTTTATGGTAGTGGAAGGAGAAATTGTCGTCGGAATGCCACTGATTCGTACGCAAACATACATACACGCACGTTCACTCACTGACGTACACAGACATACATGCACACACACTCACTCACTGGAGCTCACACAAACATAAACATATATGAACGGTGTGGTATTGGGCATATATGCATATATGAGAGAGAGAGAGATCGATGGTGATAGTGAGAGACAGAGAGATAGAGCGATAGTTTTTTGTGTTTATGCCTAATATATAAATGTTTTCCATCTCATTTTTATAAAACTTGCTAATTTTAATTTGTATTGTGATGCTGAGGGGAAATGAATTAGTTGATGTTGCATTTGTCCATGTTCAAAGTACTCTAGTTTCTCAGATGATTGGCATAAATATATTGTTTAAAATCATATATATATATATATATATATATATATATATATATGTGTGTGTGTGTGTGTGTGTGTGTGTGTGTGTCTGTCTGTGTGTGTGTGTGTGTCTGTGCGTGTGTGTGTGTCTGTGTGTGTGTGTGTAAAGAAGCCTAAAGAAAAATATTCTACACCAACACGTTTGAAAATAGTTGTGGACATTTTATTTAGTAACTTGTACTTATATACAGGAGTAATGTAAAGAGAAAATATCAATGTTTTCAATTTTTTAACTTGAGGAACGCCCTAAAATATTCTTTAAGCTTGCTGCGTAAGGAAAGGTAAACTATGGAGAATACTAAATAATGTAATTTATTGCCTTATAAGTGAGTGATGTTATTTTTGTTGTTGTTGAATTTCATTCACTCACTTTTGATTATTAGGCAATAAATTACATAACTTAAACCCTTCATAGTTTACCTTTCCTTACACAGTAAGTGTAAAGAATATTTCATAACGATCTCAAATTAAAAGTTTGAAAACTTAACGATATTTTCCTCCACATTACTACTAGTTAAATACAATTTACGGAATAAAAATCTATAGATTATTTATAAGTATTTATATTCTTTTTAGAAATATATTTTATTTATATCTAAACTTTTATACATAAATGTCTGTACGATGATCCTAATTTAAGAAATATTTTTCCCCTCATTTTTTAGGACTATTTTTTGTGTTAATTTCTATAAATGAGTAGGAGTGGGATGGAAATGCTTTTTCGGATGTAGTTAATGTTCATTTTTCCTTGTCTGGCAGTGCTTTATTGATTCCCAAGATCTGAGTATAAATATATTTTTCAAAATGTGTTTTGCTTATAGAGGAAAAATGTCAAATACAAAGAGAGAATGTTTCTAGATATTTGATGGTTGCCTGCTGACATTAATCATGTCGTTCTTACCACTCTAGCCACTATATCAACACTATTTCTATATACAGACGTTCAATCTATATAGAGATGATGTCAACACTGCATAGTGACTAACAGTTTCACAGATCCAGGGCCATTCCTCCTTTATAGGGCTTCATATATATATATATATATATATATATATATATATATATATATATATATATATATATATATATAGCGGGTTATGTATGTAGGTCATGAGGGAATTAAGCGAAATCAATAAAACGGAAACCAAACCTTTTGTTTAGGCGCAAAGCTTCGGGTCAATCACACCTTTTTATTTGCTAATTTATGCAAGTTGGGTGGTTGGAGGACGTGTGCATGTAAATAGGCTAACTTAATTTATGGAAATGAACTATAAACTGCTCATATAAAAATGAGAGAAAGAACAAATGGAGTAAAAATGTGCAGTTCGTAACATTTATTTGTAAAAAGTGCTCAATACAAGTAGAGCAATATATTATTATCATTATTGTATTTTTATTATAAGAGATTATAATAAAAACATTTTTAAATCTCTACAAAAAAGCTTTCATGCTTCAATACTTTGTACTTCTTAAGGCGATGGTAAGTAAGTGCACTTACTTACATCGCCTGAAGTAGTACAATCAATGTATTGAAACATGAAAGCTTTTGTTTAGCAATTTTAAAAATGTTTTTATTATAATCTCTTATAATAAAAATATAATATAATACATATATATATATGTGTGTGTGTGTGCGTGCGTGCGCGCGCGCGCGGGTGCGTTATTATTTATTTATATGCAGCCTTCTTTGAAATTCAACAGCCGCAATGTTAGCTTTTTAATTTGTTGACTGATTAAGCTGCTGTGCTTAGAATTTTTATCATCGCTCACTTCCGCGGTTTCGTAATGGAGTGCCAGTTAATGAGGGATGCATTTGTACTGCGTTCTCACTGTTAGATGTATTTTGTGTTATTAAGCGACTTTTTATAACAGAATATGCCTAAGTTCAACGAAGCAACGCTTTCTCTTTTTTAGAATTGCAAATGGCTGTTGTCGGAACAAGATGGCTCCCGTAAGAATTTCTCTTTATTGTTGTAAAGGTAAATGAATACAGTAGCATGGCGATTATCAACACTTTCTCGTAGACCATGGAACAATGCCGTGAATTCGATCTTCACTGGGTTCCGCATTTTCCCCAAACTCACACAACCTTAGTAGGTAACTATCTCTGGACTGAGTAAAGATTCGCATACTAGTCTGGCAGACCCTTAGTATTATAATAAGTCAGATCTTCACCGGATGCCTCGTGCATATGGCTTTCTGCTAGACTAAGTTTCGTAGGCACTTATATTACTGTAACGATGGGGATTTTATCCAAAATGGCTTCTATAAAAATAATTACTTTGCTACATGAGCGTCAAAGCGTGAAGATTTTCTCGATCCTAGGTTCTATACTATAGAAGGCCAATTATATTTACTGCTTCTTTTTTTAGGATTTCACCCCAAGCAAGGTAATAAAACCACTAAGAGGCAAAGGGTTATCAGTGCGAGATAATGTGAAAAAAAAAACATTATTAATGAGAGAGAACAATAAAAGAACAGAAGATAACGATTGACATTTGATTTAAATTTTTGAAGATCAAAGTTGACTGGAAAGCAAGAAGCTGAAAGACAGTTCCACAAGCAAGAAGTGTTACAGAAGAAACTGCTAGCATAGAACTTACGGTTACATCACACCAGTTCAACTGTAAAATGATGAGACCTTGCCGTCAAACTATTATTGCGATTAAATTCTAGATATCATAGAAGAAAGTTCGTTAAAATATTTTATAGAACAGGCACAGGGAAGCTACGTTAAGGGGATGGGAAACTGATTGAAACTGAGATGCGGGGTCAACAGTGCAGATTCTTCAATGTATTTTATCAATAATCTCTAAATATATAGCAGAAACCCCAGACTAGATGCGACAGCAATATTCAATTTTCCTAGCAATAGATCTAGCAATTGATTCAATATAATCTTTTCATTTCATGTCATCGGGAAACGTTTGCCTGAGAAGGTGCAATGAGTTTAATCTATTGGAGCTTAGCATCAGCCAGAGAACACCTAGACGAACAGAGAGCAGCTTCCCTCTGGAGGCGCCAAAATCAACAAGGCATTCCCCGCCTCAGTCGACAGCAGATTGCAGATCAGTTCAAGATCAGCTGCCAACTTGACCCCATTGAACCGATCACACCCACCACCAAGACTTTATATATAAAGAATATATATGAATTGGAAAAATAAAATTCCACACAAAAATTATTTGTTGTTTATAATAAAATGGCAGAATATCGGCAATGTTTTAACATTTTATTTATATTTTCCGTTTTGTTGTTTATAATTTGGTTATTTTAATATTAGTTAATATTACTTATTACTTTCAGATAAACTTAAGAGGGACTCCTTTAAAGCCAAGGTAGAAACTGTCTTGATCTACGGCTCAACAACATGGACAATGATGAAACACCAGAAAGCCTCACTTGACGGAACATACACAAGGATGTTGCGAGGTTTATTGAACATTAGCTGGAGGAAATACCCAACAATGAAACGCGTGTATGGACACCTTCCTTCTATCTCCGTTTCACCCAGAGAAAGAAGGCTTCGGCTAGCTGTTCATTCCTAGAAAAGTAAGTCAGAACTTGTGAATGACAGCCTCCTACGGAACCTAATTGCGCGGCAAAAGATCGGTTGGAAGATCTCATCACACCTACATTGACCAACTTATAGATGATTCTGGATGTCATCTGGGGAGCCTGCCGACGGTGATGTCTGACAGAGATGGTTGGAAGGAACGAGCCAGGAGAATCCCAGAATTCTTGACCTGATATTTCTAAAATATGATTTAAAAATGTAATCGTAAGTTTCTATTTGTGGATTAAATTTAGATTTTTTTTAACTAGGCATTATGTGTAGGGCATCATATGTATGCCAGTGTTGCTGAAAAATTCTAAACAGGACTAAAAAGTGATTATATATATATATATATATAGATAGATAGATAGATAGATAGATAGATAGATAAACCTAGTGAGCCAGACAAACCTACCCAGGTTTCATCGTCAGTTTATCTAGGTCTACTCTACGGTTGTATTGAGGTCTTTTAGTTAGTTGTTTACTCGTGTTGGGTTTTTTCTTTGGGCTTTAAACTCGTGTTGGGTTTTTTTCTTTGGGCTTTAAACCTGTATCTTTGCGATTTTTTTCGATAGACTTTAATGTTTCTAGCTCTTTCTTGTTTTAAAACCTTTTTTCCCTCGGGATTGATTTGATTATTGGCAAATCAAAAATTCGAGGGTTTTTCGAAATAGTATATATATATATATATATATATATATATATATATGTGTGTGTGTGTGTGTGTGTGTGTGTATCTCAGTATATATATTAATTTTCCAAGCGTAGCTTAGATGTGGCAAAAGGCCGAAAGTATGGGGCAACAACTGAGGATCGAACTCACTACTCATTCGTAATTATGTTAGCGAGGTAAGCTTGCTAACCATTACACTACACTATATCAAGGTTCCCCAGTTCCTTCTTAGAATGGTTGCATAACACCATTTTGTTTTTTGATATTGACAGCCACTCAGGGTACCCTGAGATATATATATACACACACACACACACACACACACACACACATATATATATATATATATATATATATATATATATATATATATATATATATATATATATATATATATATATATATATGTGTGTGTGTGTGTGTGTGTCCTTGAGGGCATTTCTAATTCTCGTTGTCGCAACAGAGCGGAATACATAATGAAATTATCCTTGGGTCCTGCATAAAGTAAACGCAGCCGCATACAATTTTCATTTATTTATTTATTTGCGTAGATTAAATAAATGGTTCAGTTCGAAATTCCTTGAATGTTACTCGGATCGAGAAGCACCTGATGAAGGCCGGGGTGCACAGCAGCCGAAACATTATAATAATAACAATAAAGACGAGGACAATAGCCCGAATGTAAATAATGTATTTGTTTACGTCAGGAACACAGTTCCCTGTTAGGCATTTGCATGCAAAATAAAAACTTCTTGTTTGCACACAAGAAAAACACACACAGAAAAAAACTTAACAGAAATTAAATATGTATTATAAGGGGTGGCTGCTCAAATACAAAACTATATATATATATATTTATATATATATATATATATATATATATATATATATATATATATATATATATATGAAGAAAAAATATACAGAAAAACAAACAAAAATCTTAATATGCAATTATGCTGTATTAATGTTAATATAATGTCAACGTCGGACGTTTCGGTCTATTTTAGACCATCATATAAATAAAACATAATTAACACTAGAACATATTCAAATTCAACACGAAAAAGACGATGGACATAAGCGCACGACTAATCCAAACAGATAACTGAAATTTTTTTGTTTTTTTCTGTATATTTTACTTCATACTGTCGGATCTATATCCATATATTTCCCCATATATATATATATATTCACTCTTGAAAGTGCGGTCTGATGAACCAGGTAAAAATCATACACCTGGGGAATTATAACTAATGGACCCTTAAGGTTGTGTTTTCTATTTAAATTAATATATATATATATATATATATATATATATATATATATATATATATGCAGTTGAGATTTTTTATATAACTTCTCGTGTTTTTCGTATGATTTTTTTCTTTTGAGGACAGAAATTATATAAAAATTGTCCCAATATTTTGCAAGCTCATTCGGCTATAATTTAGCCATTATCAAGGATAAATTTTATTTTAACTTTAACTGAATATATGCATTGTTTTATGTATGTATCTAGAGTTAAAGGTATGTTCTATTTTCCAAACATGGTCAGCACATTATGGTCGTGTTTATATTTGATATTACTGAGTGTTGGCTTTTTCTTTTTGTTTTAATAAAGTCCTCATTTTTTTAGCCTTTTTGTACATGTAGTTGATTCTATTATATTTGTATTATCAGCAAGTATGTTACGGATAGAGTTTAGTAGGTCCCCATGTGTATTTAAATGTGACCTAATATATATATATATATATATATATATATATATATATATATATATATATATATATATATATATATATTCAGACTTTTGTAGTCATCAGAAAAACTGCTTTAATTTTATAATTTTATCTATTTATGCTTGTTTGACTGTGTTTGGTGGCGGGTGGGGGTATATACTTCTGGTTTTGTTTAGGGTGGCACTATCATACGCATAGACACATACATACAGGTGTACGTATTTTAGTTCACACCAAGACATCCATATAAGCAATTCGACGCTAGGCGTAGATACATATCCTTGCGTTTGGGCATACATACATATACATTGTAATTCTATTACAGTGTCGGGACCTTAGCTTTTTATGTGTGACGATGTTGATTTCAACAAGAGATGTTCTTGATGATGGTTCAGTGTTATCTAGAAGCACCTGATCCTGATATGTAGTCGCTTCTGAGAATGTTGGCGTTTTTTTTAAATATTTCTGAAATTATATTGCCTTTTCTATTACATATCTTTCCTCTTCTCGTCCATTAAAAAGCTCTGAATCTACTAAATTTCTGGATTTGATAGGATTAATATATCGGTCTACAAAGGAGAAGACCATAATTCCGAATCATTTGTAATCTTACTAAGCGCAGGGGAAGGACGAAATCTATTTAATCTTTTCCTAGACATTTACAAACACAGATGTGACGAGATCGGCACTGATCATTTAAGCATTCCAACGTTCCTGCTTTCCCTCCCGAGGCAAATATACTAATGAAGAGGGGTCTATACTTATGAAAAACACTAATGCATATTTGGGATAAGAATAGTCTTGGACAAAAGCATTATCATCCTCTATCACGTGTTCCAAGA